CCCATTGAGTTTGATTGGCCCCTTTATCAAAGATTAGGTGGCTGAGTGTGGTTTTGGTTGTGGCTGTTGGCCATATGGTCTTTCTCTCATCCTGTGGGACCCCAGGTCAGTTGCAGGTCGCATGTCTAACCATGATAGATGTTTCTCCCATTATGTTCCGTTTGTCTCCTTTTTTACAACCTATGCATGTTTAAAATGTTTACCTAGGGCCAGGAGATGAAACTACCCAGGCAGGGTCACGGAGTGTTACCTAGGCCCGGGCTCCCCTTATCTCAGGGAGACATTCCCGGGCAGAGTTTGACTAGGCGATTAGCTCTTACACTGTCCCGGGAGGCTTCCCAAGGCACTGCTTAGGCTTTTACTAAAACTATTTTATCTAAAATAATATGCTATGATTCATTGTCCCCTGCAGAGTGAGCAGTAAAGGGACTCAATGGCAGTGTTTGTTGGGAGGAGTAGGGCTCAAGCCAGGACCAAGAATTAAAAGTAGAATCTTAGTGAATAATGGTTCTAAAATGTTTTAGAAGTCAGACAAAATTAGGTGACATTTAGTACAAATCTTTTATGTTTAATATTACCCTTTATTTGTTGTGAGGTGTTCGCTCAAATATAGCAGGTAGAGTTTAAGAGCATACACTTTTCTCTGTTTTGTCAATAAGAAAGCTAATATTCTTCTATTTGAATTATAACAATGGAGAATGAATGCACATAAGATATCTATGCTTTTTATGATTCCCGAGCCATTAAATTTTCTCTTTTTTTACTATAGGCCTTATAACCTGTATCTGGCCTCTATTTTCTAGACCTGAAGAAATTTTATAGTGACTGGGTGCAGATAATATAAACATATACAGTTAGTCTATGTCACAACAGTGATAAAGCTTAGTAACTAGAATATGTACATTGCGATGCATGTTTTATACGCACACCTATGTGAGAAAATAAATCTTTACCAGAGGAGTATTGAAAGTACATCAGAAGAATATGATGGAAATATACTGAGAGGCCTAGTAGGGTTAAGAATTATTATAATTTCTTAGAGGTGTAGGCCAGAATGTTGTGTTGTTGGAGACGGTTTACAGGGTCTGCCCCAGTGTTTGAAGTCTTTTTTAACATCTAGCCTTGCCTTTATTTTAATATTACTATTACTCTCTCTAGATACAGATATAGAGATAGAAATAGACATACATATAGAGATAGATAGACAGATACATAGATAGATATGAGTAGATAAGTAAATAATAGATAGATGATAGAGAGATAAAAGATAGATGATAGAGAGATAGAGAGAGAGATGATATATAGATAGATAGATAATAGACAAATGATAGAGGGATAGGTAGATAGAGAGAGAGAGAGATAGAGAGAGAGAGAGAGAGAGAGAGAGAGAGAGAGAGAGATAAGTAGGTAGATAGATAGATAGATAGATAGATAGATAGATAGATAGATAGATGATAGATACCTTAAAGCTCCTCTCAGGAGTTACTTTGGGGACCATATGAGGAACCTCTTATCTCTTCTGTAGTTTTTCCCTCTATCAGTTGTGTCATTTCATTTGCCTCAGTAGGTCATGGTCTTGCTTGACTCTATGGATTTTCTTGGAAATATGGGGTACATTTTCCCCTTTGTGACCCTCCTGTTAGCACAATGTACACTGGTTGACTACTGCCCTCTGGGGTCTACCATCTCCATACTGAAGAGGTTGCATGACTCACAAGAATTGTAGGATCTGTTTAGATGGCCACATCATGCCCCAGATCTTGGCTAACCTTGGAGGGCAAGGACCTTTAAAACTTAAGATTCACAGTATATTTTGTCTTCCGATGTGTATACATATCTCTAGTCCCAGATATTTATTCAGAATGTTATAACTTAAGATAATAGTTGTTTATCTAACCAATCATAAAGTAATTATTGAAAACATTTTTGCAAGTCTGCTACAACCCACATAGCTCTTGATGGCACTGGGGGAAAATGGGGAGGGCATGAAAAATATAGACAAATATAGACAAGAGACAAAAGCTGAGGTCAGATGGAGCTCCTCACTTCTGATAAGAGAAGAACTGAACAACAAGAGTGGGGGTATCTCTTTATGTTTTTAAAGAAGTTAGTATCACAAGACACAGGGTTGCCTAATGACTAATGGCTGGAATTGTCTCAGGCAAGATGTTTTTCTCAGGACTGAAGTATTTCTAGCTTCAGCCACTCCGAACACAAGTCAACATATAAATAATCTTTAACTCAACTTCAATTATAGCATATATACACACACACACACACACACACACACACACACACACATACATTTGCAGGAGTGGAGCTACCCATCAATGGAAAAACCTAAAAAAATGGATCAGGCAACTGTTTTTTCAGTCAGAAAGGACTTTTGCCCAGTAATTCATCATGCCCAAGGGCCCCCACTTAGGAGAATATTCCAAATACTATTTTGATATAAAATCAAATATTAGAAATTTAGTTCAATCAAAATAGGCAGCAAGTCACATGACAAGACAAGATGGTGACCAGCCATGTGATGAAACAAGATGGTGACCAGAACTAAGACAGCAACTTGAGAAAGAAATAGGGGGAGAGCACAGGCAAGACTTTGAGCACAAAAAGGAGTAAACTGTGATAGGTGGCTACTCAGACAGGTTGCCAAGGTACCAACAGCTATTGTTTTGCCCAAAAATGAGAAAGTTGGCAAAATATCATGGATAACAGAAACATGAGGTCAAAAAAGCATACTAAAGTCTAGGTCATATACAAGGTACCTGAAAAATCTGTTCTGCAACTGGGTTAATAACAGGCACTCTGGTTATTTAATTCATACCCACAGAATGAGTGCAAATGGGAAAATAAAAGAAAAGTGGAGGTAAATTTCAAGTGGGCCTGTAGGCCTCTTAGTTTCCTGGAATTTTAGAGAGAAACAAAAAATATATACCAAAGTCCTTACCTGCCCTGCTGGCTGGTTAAACCAAATATGTTACTAAGTTTAGGGATGCTAGAGTCTCTTTCTGGAGGTGATTTCTAGGTTCTTTCTATTTTGAGCAAAGAATTGGTCAAGACAAGCACAAAAAGTATCAAACTTTTAGTAAAGGGAGGAAAAGAAACAGGCTTTGTAGAGTGAATTTAGGCCAAGTAAAAGCAGGAAGAGAAGTACACCCAATAGCATGAGAATTGACTATCATAAAAAGGTCCAATTGTATGCACTTAATGACAGCTATCTCTTTGTATCATCCACCCCTCAACCTGACATCATATCTAGACCATCTTATCAAAAATCTGCTTGAGTTCTTGCAAGAAGCCCATGCTCAGTGTTTTGGGAACTGTTCTGCACAGGTGTTCTGAGATGCTGTAATTGATAGGTCATACCTACATCCCCAGCAGGCTTTGTCATGTCCTAATCTCCTGTCTTAAGGACAGAGTGTCAGAAGACAGGGATATTGGTAAGCAACTGATGAGTGATGCCTAAAAAAGATTATTTTCTTCTAACTTTTATGGAAATGAGCTGGTTCCTGAGATGTACTTTGCTTATCTAGGGATGCCCCTCCTGAGAAAGGAAGACACTAAAAGATTGTTGCTGTAGGGGCAAGAGGTCTACAAACAGGAAGAAAATATAGAATAAGGGCTGCATTGAGCTTTCCAGCTAATCCTGACTGGAAAGGATTAAAATTATACCCCTGAAAACAATTACAAACAGGAGAGGGAGAGCTGACAGGCAGAGCAGAGAGGGACCCAGATGCTCAAAACCAAGGTATCTGCCCTTCAACCACCTTCAGTAAAATTTAAAGGAGACAGGGCTGGCCACATAAGAGAACTCTTATAACCAAGGGGCACAACAGGTGGGTAAAATACACCCCTATCATCAATGCAAATTTTCATTTTCCAATGTAATTTTTGTTCTTTTTCAGAACAGTGAAGAAATGGGTAAAGTTAATCATAACCAAAATAAATCTACACCCAGACATATAGTGATCAAGATCCCAGAAACTCAACAGAAGATCAGATTAAAAGCTGTTAGAGAAAAGAAACAGATCACCTATAAAGGAAAACCTATCAGAATCATGGCAGACTTCTCAACACAAACCATCAAGGCAAGAAGACCTTGGAGAGAAGCATTTCAGGTTCTGAAAGAAAACAACTTCCAACCCAGACTGATGTACCCTGCAAAACTATCCTTCAAATTTAATGGAGAAATAAAATATTTTCATGATAAAGAACAACTGAAGAAACTCATGAGTGACAAACCAACCCTACAAAGAGTACTGAAAGATATTCTAGAAAGAGATAAAACAGACCACAACTTCAAGAACAACAGAAACGAACCACCAAGCAGATCAAGCAATTAAACAGAGGGAAAAAGGAGGATCCAATAGCAGGAAAATAGCATGACGAAGATAAACCAGTACATACCAGTAATAACCATCAATGTAAATGGTCTCAATGCACAAGTCAAAAGAAGCAGACTAGCAGGGTGGATCAGGAAACAAAATTCCACTATATGCTGTATACAAGAAACACATTTAATACAAAAGAAATTCATAGACTGAAAACTAAAGGATGGAAAACAACACTCCATGCAACAGGATGGAGTACTGTCTTCCATCTTTCTGTTTTCAGACAACATGAACTTCAAACCAAGAACAAGCAAAAGAGATAAAGAAGGTCACTACATACTTGTGAGGGGAAAGCTTCAAGAGGAAGAGATAACAGTAGTAAACATCTATGCACCAAATATCAGAGCACCCACCTATATAAGACAAATTTTAACAGAAATGAAAAATGAAATAAGGAGCTACATCCCCAGGCCGGCCTCAGACTGTGCGCCCCTCCTGCCCCTCTCTGCTCCTCTCTGCTCCTCGCGCTCCCACCCCTCCACCGTGCGCTGCCCTGAGGAGGCGGGGAGGGGAGGACCAGGCCAGCCAGCGGCAACGATGCCAAACTTCTGCACAGCCCCCAACTGCACGCGGAAGAGCACGCAGTCCGACCTGGCCTTCAGGTTTCTGCGGGATCCGGCCAGATGCCAGAAGTGGATGGAGAATTGTAGGAGAGCAGACTTAGAAGATAAAACACCTGATCAACTAAATAAACATTATCGACTGTGTGCCAAACACTTTGAGACCTCTATGATCTGTAGAACTATATATTTTGCAGAGGTATCAGAAAACTAAAGAATGATTGCGTTATTTTATTTCTCAAAATTAATTGAAGCAGATACTTGTGAAGTCATTGGGAGAGTCCTTATAGGACTGTTCTTCGAGATAATGCAATACCAACAATATTTGATCTTACCAGTCATTTGAACAATCCACACAGTAGACATGGAAAACGAATAAAAGAATTGAGTGAAGATGAAATCAGGACACGGAAACAGAAAAAAACTGATGAAACTTCAGAACAGGAACAGAATCATAAAGCAACAAACAATAGCAATGCTCACAATCCCAGTGCAGAAGTGGTAGATGACGAGCAAGCTGAAGACGTTTTACCTTTAACCCTTGAAGAGAAGGAAAACAAGGACTACTTAAGGTCTCTGCTTGAAATTTTGATTCTGATGGGAAAACAAAACATACCTTTGGATGGGCACGAGACTGACGAAATTCCAGAAGGTCTTTTTATGCCTGATAACTTTCAAGAATTGCTAGAGTGCCGGATAAATTCTGGTGAAGAGGTTCTGAGAAAGCGCTTTGAGACCACAGCTGTTAACACATTGTTTTGTTTAAAAACGCAGCAGAAACAGATGCTAGAGATCTGTGAGAGCTGTTTTCGGGGAGAAACCCTCCGGGAAGTGAGAGACTCACACTTCTTTTCCATCGTTACTGATGACGTGGTGGACATAGCAGGGGAGTTCTTACCTGTCTTGGTGAGGTTTGTCGATGAATCTCATAACCTAAGGGAAGAGTGTGTGGGCTTCTTGCATTATGAAGCTGATGCAGAAATTTTTGCCATTAAATTTCACACTACAATCACTGAGAAGTGGGGGCTGAGTATGGAGTATTGTCGTGGCCAGCCTTATATTGTATCCAGTGG